GTGGTTGACCACAGGGATACCTAGACAGGTTCCACAGATGGGAGGCAAAGGGGGTCTCTGGTCTGGAAGTCCAGATAGTGACAGAAGTCCCAGCAGCTAAACATACAGGACCACCCCACTAGAAAGGCAGTATTCTGGGGCCAACTATCACAGTGTCCACCACAGTAACTGGGACATAAAGCGGAGGTCCACTCACCCTGTCAAAAAATAAAAGTCAGCAGCTACAAAAACTGTAGCTGCTGACTTTTAAAAAACAGCCACTTACCTGTCCCTTAGTCCTCCCGTGATGTGTCCCCCGCAGCTCGTTTCACTGGCCGTCCTGTATTCCAGGAGGCCGGCATCTTCAGTGTGGGCACCCGGCTGTGACAGCTTGTGGCTTCACAGCTGGGTACCCACTGCACATGCGCGAGTAGCGCTGCGCTTCATGAATGGTTCAGTAGTCTTCTGGGACCTGTCACGTGTCCCAAAAGACTACAGGAAGGGAGGGAGGGATGACACCTTCCGCTTCCAGTCACCTAGGCAATCGGACCGGAATTGGGAGTGGGTACCTGTCAAATTCGGGTACTTGCTCCCCCCCCCCGCCCCGAAAGGTGCCAGTCCTTAATGGGGAGTAGTCCTTAAAGCGGAACTTCTCCTTTTGGGTGGAGCTCTGCTTTAAGAAGAAGCTGCGTGCCCTTGGGCTCTCATCCGGTGACCTGAATGCTAGGAACATTGAAGTAGGACCCCCGACCTGGCATCAATTGACATGCCCAGGCACTGTTGTCAGGTCTCTCTGAGCACCTGACGATGGGAAACAGTGGAATTTATAACCCCTGGGCATGTCCAAAAGTCACTGGGGATTGTGGGAGCCCACTGGATCATGGTAAAAAGAATTAAACAAGCCTGTACCCACTCCTGGACAAAGTAGGTAAAGATAGAGCCCCCTACGCTGAAATACATTGATGATGCCATCAGGAGACTAATTTAGCAACAGAAAGAACTGTCTGGTGATAGCTTGCACCTCCACTAACATGGTAGCTGCCCTTCAGCCACACAGCACTGAATAATACTTGACTAAGTAGAACTACACAAAAGAGTAGCTGCAGAATGCCTACTACAGTCTAAATCATTCAAACTGACTTGTCTCACACACTGTTTGAGGAGAAAGTTTCTCTGAGTCTAGGTCCGCTTTAACAAGAAGCCTCTGTATGTAGTGGTCTTTCTAGAACAACAGTCTCTAACATGACGTTATCTTTATTAACATTGAATGCTTTTAACTATGGAGCATTCTCTGGAGCCAAAACTACATTGTATGTATTTTGGTCCAGGTGTAAATAGCTGGCAATCCACTCAGTTGTTAAGCTTAAAAAATGTCAATAGTGTTCAACACTCTAAACACTCCAGTTTTCATTCAAACAAATGTAATTTATCACCTGTATACATTACTTGTTAATGACCCAAAGTTATTACGTTAAATAGGAACCGTGTAAAATGTGTAGGACGTACAAGAAAAACTAGATGCAATGGGAATGATTTACTAAGCAGTAATGGCTGTTCACTTTGCTAATTTCTAATTTTTTTTTAAATATTGCTTATCTGTGTCATGTTTCTTTGAACAATGTTGCCTGTCCCAAATCTGATCTCTTTAGCAATACAATACAGGAAGCTCAGCCTCTACACCATTAATCCTTTATTAGGACAAACAGTGTTCAATTTTTTTTTACAATTGATACTGAAGAGCTATAGTTGTGCTCAAAAGTTTGCATACCTGGCAGAATTCGCTAAATTTTGGCATTTATATTGAAAATATAACTGATCATGCCAATTAATTAAGGATAGTGATCATATGAAGCCATTTATTAGCACAAAGTCATCAGGACAAATACAGGCTGCTCTGGAAAAAGATGATGTGGTTGTTTCAAGAAGCACAATATGCTGATACTTGAACAAAAATGAGCTGTATGGTCGAGTTGCCAGAAAGAAGCCTTTACTGTGCCAATGCCACAAAAAAAGCCCAGTTACAATATGCCTGACAACACCTTGATATGCCTTACAGCTTGTGGCACACTGTAATTTAGAGTGAGGAGACCAAAACAGAGCTGGACACAACAATGAGTGCTATGTTTGGAGAGGGATCAACAAGGCCTATAGTGACAAGAATACTATTCCCACTGTGAAGCATGCTGGTGGCTCACTAATGTTTTGGGGGTGAATGAGTTCTAAAGACACAGGGAATTTTGTGAAAATTGATGGTAAGATGAATGCAGCATGTTATCAGAAAATGCTGGCAGACAATTTGCATTCTTCTGCATGAAAGCTGCACATTGGGACTTGTGCACCAGCACAGCAGTTACCCTCAGCACAAGGCCAAGCTAACCCTCCAGTGGTTACAGCAGAAAACATTGAAGGTTCTGGAGAAGCTATCATAGTTTCTGGACTTCAATATCATTGAACCACTCTGGGCAGATCTCAAATGTGTACTTCATGCAAGACGAACAAAGACTTTGCACGACCTGGAGGCATTTTGCCAAGACAAATGAACAGCTATACCACCTGTAAAAATTCAGGGCCTCATACACAACTACTACAAAAGATTGCACACTGTCATTAATGCTGAAAGATGAAGGGGGTAATACACAGTATTAAGAACAAAGAGTATGCAGACTCTTGAACAGGAGTAATTTCATTTGTTTAATGTTGCCATGTTTTTGTTTATGATTGTGCCATTCTGGTATGACCTATAATTGAATATGCATCCCATAAGAAATAAAAGAAATATGTTTTTGCCTGCTCACTCATGTTTTTTAAAATGATAATGTAAATTATAAATTCTCCAAGGGTATGCAAACTTTTGAGCACAACTGTACCTGCAGAGTACAGCCTGGGTTAATTATGACAACCACAGTTGCCTGGCCTCCTCATAAACAATGAGAAATACTTAGTATTGTTCTTTGCTGGAGGGTCCAGAATGGAGCATCTAAATGGTAAGTTGCAATTTTTTTATATTTTTTTCTGCTATGTGAATGAGAACATGTAAAAAATATAAAGCCGGTGTTATCCCAGTTTGGATGAAAGAAAGTGGAAATACATTTTAAGGTGAAGGTACATTCACTATGAATACCCAAACATGTAAAAAAAAAAATATCTTGCACATGGTAGAATGACTAAAATGATTGCAGGTTTATTTAATTTGTTAAACAAAGTGAAAATTCACTTTGCATAGTAAACATTTTATACTCCAGGACATGCTTTTGGGGAATACCCCTTCTTCTAAAATTCAACCAGTACCCGTAAAAGTGTATACTCCATTTGTAAACCAAATCCAAAGAATAGAAGAGTTGAGCAAAATCTGTTCTCTGTCTACATGCTGTGTGCTAATGTATACCTCTTTCCTATCTGAGAAAGAAGGTATGTAAAAAGTGAGGCCCTGTAAAAAGACATATTCTATTGGGAAACTGATATGAAACAACAAAAGTTATAGCTAAAAACGTTTTTTAAAAGTTTATTAGTGTAGTAGAATTTTAGTTTATGTATTATCCAAATTTTCATTCAACTATGTGTAGGCATTGTCCCTGAATGACTACTATGAAATTTAAATTCAAATGAATAAAGATTTGTTAGTGAGTAAAACATTTCCATGTGTATCAGTCTGGAATCAGTATGAATCCCAGCAAAAGTACAAACAATATCCCTTTGGTTATACAGTTCACATATTTGTGGGGTAGAACACTAAACATTGTATTAATTAACGTTCTATGGTAGTAATGTAAGTGGAAACAGACAATACTGCCTGGACCATCCTGTTCATATGTGAGTCTAATTAATGTTGGAGCAGTTCATGAAATACTGTAGCTCTGATACAGAATGTATTCATAATGTTTTCAATGCACCTGAAATAATTTGAAAAGTCATTTATGTATTTTAAGTGCTCTCTACCAACATTCTATAGTCATCTGAATGTCTTTGATCAAAGGTATTTACAATGTCCTTTTTCCTTTTTGTTTAGAAATAGATGCAGGTGTTGTCCAGTTCTAGCCGCCATATAAGCAGCTGTTATCATTTTACTCTACATTAGCATTATTCCACATGCCTTTCTTAATTTGTGAGTGTGCTTGCATCAAAATTTTCAATTTTCAAAAACAAATGTTACATTTCCATGTAATTGTTATTTTTTTCACATAAACTAAATCTAAACTCAATCATTAACCACCAGGGGCGGACTGACAACTCATGGGGCCCCTGGGCAATAGGGGATCACGGGGCCCCTGTGTCCTTGCCCAAACTCAAAAAAGCCTATGAAAAAGGTACCAGGGGCATCTCATGGGGCCCCCTACTGACCCCGGGCCCTTGGGCAGTGCCCGAGTTTCCAAATGGTCAGTCCGCCCCTGTTAACCACTTGCCCTCCAGAGGATTTGTCCCCCTTCCTAACCAGACCATTTTTTGCATTACAGTGCTGCCTTACTGTAACTGACAATTGCAACACTGCACCCAAATTAAATTTGCATCTTTTTTTCCCACAAATAGAGCTTTATTTCTGTGGTATTTGATCATGTCTGCGTTTTTTATTTTTTGCGCTATAAACAAAAAAAGACCAAAACTTTGAAAAAAATGTTTTGCTATTAAACATGTCCAGTTCAAAAAATTTTAAAAAGTAACAACTGCTGAAAAACAAAACAAAAAATGTATTTGCTTGTTTGTAAGATGTTGAATATACATATACTCTACTATCTGTAAATTTTACAAATCTGTAATACTCTATTGCGACAATACTGTTTATAGTTGTAAACACGTAAATGATCAATAAAAAAACTAACAGTTAAAAAAAAAAAAAAAAAAAAAATTTAATTTCATTATAAATGTAGGCCAAAATGTATTCTGCTACATGTATTTGCTAAAACAACTCCCAATACATGTAAATTAATTGGTTTACATGAAAGTTATAGCTTTTATAGTGGTATATATACAGGACTTTTTTTTTTTTTCTAGTAATGGCAGCGATCAGAGACTTTTAGCAGGACTGAGGGGGACTGCGGAAGGCATTCTGACACTGGGGGGAATTGACTTGGTGTCACTGACATCCCATTGACACCAATACAGTGATCAGTGCTAATAAAAAGCACTGACACTTTACTAATGACACTGGGCATGAAGGGGTTAACATCTGGGGTGATCAAAGGGTTAACTGTGTGCTGTTTTACTGTGTGCTGATCGTGTGCTTACACAGGGGCTACAGGGGAGAGATCTGTGTTGTTTATACACATGTCCTGTCAGTGATACTCAGCGATTGCGGGTTCCGTTGGGGAATCACCAGTCGGGACCCAGTGATTGACAGCCCAGGCAGAGAATGGCGGTGCGCCCCCTACCTGGAACTGCAAAGTCACGTATATATATATATATATATATATATATATATGTGATTTTGCGCAGCCGTGCCACCGTGCAGCAGTATTTCTGACGACGCGGAAGCTGGTAAAATATGCTTTAACATGTTGATATAATGCTGCATAAATTGACAGCGCTATTTAAGTACCTGTAATAATAATAAAAAGAAGAAGAATATAATCCCAAAAGTTGTTTTCAATCTTTTTAAATCTTCAGCTGTCATTAAAATAATACCTGGTGATCCGGCTATGAAAGTCTAGACACATGCTATTATGAGGTGACATCTTTCCCCCAACTGGGGTCCTGCATTGTCACATGTGCCACTGATGCGGCTTTGTCAACACACTTTGAACTGTCATTATCAGGAAGACTGGAGCAGATGCATGTAGATAGAAAATTGATGAAATAAGCTGAAGGAGAGTGGCAGTACTGAGATGCAACAGAGAATAAAATGAGGTGTAAAACATATTAAACAGAAAAAAAGAAATGGCAGTTGTTAATGATACACAGGGGTTGATTTACTATAACTGGAGAGTGCAAAATTTGGTACAGTTCTGCATAGAAACCAATCAGACTTCAGTTTTTTGTCAAAGCCTAATTGAACAAGTTGAAGTTAGAAGTGATTGGCTACCATACACAGCTGCACCAGATTCTGAGTGTTCCAGTTTTAGTAAATCAACCCCGTAGTGCTTTAGCAATCTACATGATATGTAGTTAGGGTGTAGGTCTAATCTTGAAAGCCCTTATTTCTCAAATATTGATATCATTATGCTATCACTGCCTCAAATAGCCTCTTTTGCTTTTCTTCACAATAGATACTTCACATACAGTATTAATCACTTTTAATAACAGCCAGAAGCTACTGACAGTTTTAAAAGGAAATAAAAAAACAAATGTTAATTGTGATTTGACTTTTACATACAAAATTCCAAAAAAACTGATCTAACAAACATGGTAATTTCATGAGATGTGTGTGCAAAAAATAAAAAAAACCTTTTGTGAATTGAAAAAAAAAAGTACTATAAATAATGAAAGAGAATGCAAACACTAAATTCCTTAGCTCTTGTGAACTAGGACTATTGTGTGCTCAAATAACAGATGGGCAATGCTATTAAATTGACATTGATATAGGATCTGCTACTTTTAACTTAGGAATTGTTTAAAGTCATGAAATGTTATCTACATTTGTGACTTATAAGCTAGCCACCTTTCACAGATATAACAGCTGAACACACTTGTGGCATTGTTTCTACAGTGGAATTCAAATGCAGTTTGTGGAATGGGTCCTGATTGCAGTCCTCTTACTCTACTTAAAGTGGCACTAAACAATATCCTTATTCTTCTAAAATTATCAATACACATCCATTACGTACATAATGGCACTGTAATCTATTTTTCATTAATCTGTTTCTTACTGCGTTTTTCTGCCTCCTTGCAATGCCCTCCGTGAGCTCCAAAAGCTGTCCTTTACCCTTTCACTTTCATTTGTTTTGAACAAGACATGCACATCAGTTACAGTTATTTGCACTGCTCTATGCACACTACAACTTCCATAGTCCCTTATACATCTCAGAAACATGTAAGAGAGGGTGGCAACATGCATATCTACAGTGGGACTATGAAGAATGAATATACACTATATTTGCCAAACGTATTGGGGCACCTGCCCTTACATGAACATGAACTTTAATGGCATCCCAGTCTTAGTCCGTATGGTTGAATATTGAGTTGGCCCACCCTTTGCAGCCATAACAGCTTCAACTCTTTTGGGAAGGCTGTCCACAAGGTTTACAAGTGTGTCTATGGGAATGTTTGACCATTCTTCCAGAAGCGCATTTGTGAGGTCAGGCTCTGATGTCAGATGAGAAGGCCTGGCTCGCATTCTCCACTCTAAATCATCCCAAAGGTGTTTTATTGTGTTGAGGTCAGGCCAATCAAGTTCCTCCACCCCAAACTCGCTCATCCAAGTCTTTATGGACCGTGCTTTGTGCACTGGTGCGCAGTCATGTTGGAACAGGAAGGGGCCATCCCCAAACTGTTCCCACAAAGTTGGGAGCATGAAATTGTCCAAAATGTCTTGGTATGCTGACGCCTTAAGAGTTCCCTTCACTGTTTTCCTGGCAATCGCCAAACCCAGAAAAATCCATCAGATTTCCAGACAGAGAATCGTGAATTGTCACTCCAAAGAACATGTCTGCTCTAGAGTCAGTGGCGGCGTGCTTTAAACCACTGCATCTGATGCTTTGCATTGAACTTGCTGATGTAAGGCTTGGATGCAGCTGCTCGGCCATGAAAACCCATTCCATGAAGCTCTCTACGCACTGTTGTTGTGCTAATCTGAAGGCCACACGAAGTTTGGAGGTCTTTAGCTATTGAATCTGCAGATAGTTGGCAACTTCTGCGCACTGTGCAGAAGTGCATTCTATCATTTTACGTTGCCTACCACTTTGTGGCTGAGTTGCTATTGTTCCCAGTTGCTTCAACTTTGTAATAATACCACCAACAATTGACTATGGAATATTTAGTAGCGATTACATTTCATGGATGACTTATTGCACAACTGGCAACCTATCACGGTACCACACTTGAATTCACTGAGCTCCTGAGAGCGACCCATTCTTTCACAAATGTTTGTAGAAGCAGTCTGCATGCCTATATGCTTCATTTTATACACCTGTGGCCATGGAAATGATTGGAGCACCTGAATCCAATGATTTGGAGGGGTGTCCCATTACTTTTGGCAATATAGTGTAGTTATCCTCTAACAGTAAGTCAGATCACAGCACAAAATAAAATTTAGAAATTTGGAAGAGGCTGAGAGCAATAGAAGGTTTTTTTTTTAGTTAAGAATAGTAATTTAACAGATTTTCTTCTAAATCAGAGTTTTGTGTAATTTAAGTCAGCTTCTGTAAATTTACTTATGGGAAATGACATATAACTTCACAAGGCCACAAGACTTACAGTATGTACTTTCAAAGCATACTGAGGAAAATTTATCATCACACCCTCCAGTGTTTGATGTATTGTAACAGTACTGTCTCTTTTTATATTGTAAAGTGTTGTGCAAAATGTTGGCACTATTTAAATGCTGTAAAATAATAATCCTATATGGTACAGCACATGTACGTTTCTGGTAGGCTTCATGCGTTTGCTGGCTCTTTTGACAGCTCCTGCTCAATAATAAATAGTTATAACTAGGTAAGGAAGGCTATACTCAGAAAAACATGGTAACTGCCACTGCTGACCTGTTTCCAGTTTTCTGGAATGCTGAAGCTGTTGTATTATCTAATTGGCATACTTTATTGGTTGTATTGACCCAGTTGGTTTAATTTAACCATAAGGATTACCAGGAATAAATTAGTGAATACTATGGTCTATTTATTTTCTTTTATTGTTGCTGTTGAGGATTGTTCACTAGCACATAAAGCAAAAAAAACTTTTTTTTTCAGTTTGAATATTGCCATAGATTAGCTGGTTTGTTAAACCTTTAAGAAATTGCTCTGTCTCTGCACACTCTCCTATACACTTTGTAGTCATCCTTACTATTAGTTGCCATAATGAGCTTACCCTTTTTGTTTTTTCTGTCATGTTGTTCTTCTCTGCTTCCAGGAATCAAAATTCCTGTTCAAGTTAATTATTTTAAGAGACACAGCTGGGGAAGAAAGGAGACACGAGGAAAACAAATCTCCACACTTTTCTAAAAATTATATATAGATGGTTAAAGGGGTATTCCAGAACATCAGACAAAGAATATCACTTTGTATAAATTGTATTTTTTTTTTTTATCATTAAAAAAATAATAACCAAGTTTTGTTTTTATGTATTTAGATTTTAAGCATAGTTTGACTTTTCCTGACACCGGCTTGTCTTTTCAAACAACATCTACTGTTCTGCCAGTGATTAGTCTCAGTACATTAAACACTTCTAGTTCCAGTGCCTTTTGACTATTTCTTTTCAGTTCCCTCTTACGTTTTTGGTTTCAGGCACATGAAATTCCGGAGAGCAGGGCCAAGAGGCAAACTAGTTTCCATCAGTAGTTGAAAAACAACAATCTGAAATAAAAATTGAGAAACTAACTTTGCCCCACCCTGGCAGAAAAAAAAATCACAAACATTCTTATAATTAGACGTGCAATGTCATAAATTAGACATGGATTTAGACACGGTATAGAATGCTATACACACAAAGCAGGGTAACCATATTGTTCCCTATAATGTACAGATATGGGATATATTGCCCAAAATAATTGAGATACAGTTTGATTCAAATATTTGTGTTTGGAGTTGTATACCCACCTGATAAAATGCCAAACCATTAAAAATTTTTGGATAGAGTGAGGCAGCATTTTACCATGCCAGGAAACAAGGGTAACTCTCAGCAATAGAAATAAAAATTATTTTTTTTTTAGTAGAGTAAGGGAATTTTAGTAGAGTAAGGGAATTTGTATTTCTATCTGTCTGTGCCGCTGCTGCAGGTTTTCTCTTTTTTCCTTTATGGTGACACTTCAAACCCTTTCAAATGGAGTCTTGGATAGCAGTAAAAACCCAACAAGTGTACTGTCTATCCTTGGATTTGATCTCCCCCCCCCCCCATATTTTTTATGCCCCCCTTCATTTTTTTTCTTCTCCTCCTCCCTCCTTCTTCCACTTTACTCTGCACACATCCCACATTCGCCTGGTTTGAACAGTTTGAGAGTAGTTAGACGGCATATTTCACAGAAAATGTAGCTTCTTGTCTAAATCTTCCATTATCTGAGCAGGGGCGGACTGACCATTTGGAAACTCGGGCACTGCCCGAGGGCCCGGGGTCAGTAGGGGGCCCC